CGTCTCCTACAGGGTTAGGGGTAGGAGACGTTAATTTCCCACGCACGAAATTACTGTGTGATGGATGTCCTCCCTCAGGGGTGGGATGGGTGGGATTTATTGGTTGGACTACTTGCATGGTTTGCATATGTTTCGTTCTAGTCCTACCCTATTGTGGTAATGCAGTGAAAATGGTTAAAAAAAAAAGATGCTTGCTAACCCTTACACCCCCCAAATTGATTAAATTGTATTGTCCCCTGCCTTTGATATTTACTTTTAACCCGTATTTAACCTGTACATTTAACCTGTATTGTCCCCTGCCTTTGATATTTACAGTAAACCCACTACTAAGCCACCCCCTATAGTAAGGCCCTCCTCTTAAGAATCTATTAAGATACTGTAAATCCTCTATTAAGCCCCCCTCTAATAAGCCACCCCCTCTAATAGGACCCCCCCTCTTTAGAGGAAGAAATCTATTAAGCCCCCCCCCCCATCTATTGAGGGTGCAATGGGTTTGGATAACCTACTCATGGAGTCTCAGTCATGAAGTGTGTACTAAACTTAATTAATACCACAAGAACCAATGAGAACTGAAAGTTGGAACAAGTAAACTGCCTGTAGTGCTGGAAAACATAAGTTACAATTGCTTTTAGTTTTACATCTGATTCATTTAGTTGTTGGCAGGAGTTTTCTCAGACCTATCACATAGTGATGTAAGGCAAAAGGGATATGATCCTTGAAAACTTTTGACACCATACCGAAAATCTTTTCAAAACAAAGTTAACTAATGTTTAACTCTACTAACACATCACCATTGGATCATTTTCAGAGAAAACACCTCCTCGAAGAGTACTTGAAGAACGATTTCAGAAACGTATGTATCAGTGTGTTGACCTTAAATGTACCCACTCATCCTGAATCATGCTGTTTGTCTGATATCTTCCAAGACATGTATCTTATTAGATGTTTTATTTTGTAGTATTACTGAGTATTTTTACAAGTTGCGCTTCATTTTGATGAGACTGTACTAGGAGGAGTCAAAATACAAATATCAAATGAAAGTTCTCCTTGATACTACATACTAAAATATCCAATAAGTTTTTTATTATTCAGCTAGTAATTTTATGTGGATTTCTTAAAAGACAGGAAAAGTGTAGCAGATAGAGAACATAGTACACATAGCCAACTGGTTAAACAGGTTTTTTTACAGCAGTGAATATCCAACTGTACAATATCTGTTGATATTTGGACTAAATTCACATGTTATTTGTACTCTATTCAGAGCAGTTAGATAATAAACAATTATTGGATGAGGTTGACCATGCTATCGTGAATTATCAAAGTCAAGGTCTGCCTTTGGCTTCGGCAGATAACACAGACATGAGGTTTGATAATTCATGATATCGTGCAAAAGCAGAATTTCATACTTGTTTTATTACACATTTTTTTAAACAATCTGCTAAAGAAGACACCTCTCTCTGAGTTTGTAAAAGTTTAAGGACACTACATGAATAAGGGGCTTGGAAACTAACAATCAAGAGCTGCTTTAGCTGGTGTTCATTTCCTTTATACTCATGACATTTATGTGTGAGTCAGGTGTGATCTTGTAAGAAGAAATTTGATGCTAGACACTCTTAACGGTTAAAGGGTTAAATTAATTGCTGATAATTATTTACCTTTTGCAAGATTATGATTAAACCCTTTTCCTTGCCCAGTTGCTGCATTGAGGCAGCTGTTAAGAATTTCCCCTATTCTATATGATGCCTTTTTGCTCTTCTTTCCTCTGTTATTATCCACAGCAAAGGTTGAAGAACGGAAAACAAGTGAGTTTGTAGCTGTATTTTTTCTGATTTAAGGAAATTATGGATGGTTATTTGTGGCTTGCAAACTGCAGTGTAATTTCAAATGTACACTTGTACATATTTTGACATATTGCCTCAAAAAGAGTTCAATTAAAGTCGTGCTATTACAACCCGACCACATCGTACTTCCCACTCCATTGTGTGCTTTTACGGCTCATGCAAACCTTTACAATGTTCTCTCTCTGTATTGTATTTATCCCAAAGGAAATATGTTCTTTTTACAAAGAACCTGTCAGTTAAAACTGCCTTGGAATTAACTGAGGGTAAATGAAAGGCAACTGCTACATGCTATTAACTAGTGCTGTTGCAACTTCTTCCAGCCTTGGTGATATTGTTAGGTTTGTCTGACCGGAAGCTTCTGGAACATGAATGGGACGAAAGACGTCCAGGCTACCTCAGAAAACCTTTGAACGTAGCAACCACTGATTGTGACTAAGAATTAGAGTTTTGTGCGCTCCTTTTTTTTGTCACTTTTAGCATAGAGCGCTTTTCGACAGAGCGTCATAAAACCAACACCAAAGTAATCGCATCTGCCAATCAGAAGAAAGGAAATGACTTTTATGAGCCATTTAGAACTAAAGTAAAACCAGCCAAACTGCCTAAAGCGCGGGAAAACGCGCGCGAACAAGTTGTGATTGGTTTTAGTTTTGCATCTGATTGGTCCAGAAAGTGGTGCGACTTTTCTGCACCAATTTCATGAAGTAAAGGAAATGTGTTTGTTTCTAGTTCGTGCCTCTTATGATGCATTCATCTGCTTCGATGAGAGAGACCGAGCTTTTGTGGATGAACTTGTCAAGATAATGGAGAGTGAACCTTATAAGCGTCATGTGTGTGAGACCAGAAGGGATCTCCTGCCTGGTGGTTCACGTTATGAGGGTAGTGCCACGGCTATCGAAAAAAATTGTAGAAACGTGGTTCTTGTGTGGTCCAGGCATTACGATGACAGTGATATGGCTCGCTATGAATCAAATGTAGCCATGAGTATGGCAACAGGTCAGTTCAACACTCATTAGACATGTTTTTTTTGTTACCGTTTTTTTATATTTAAACCAAACGAAACTTCTCTAAGCAGTTGAACACAGCCCTATGCCCCATGAGTGCATGTTTTAGAGAATTTCGTTTGGTTCAATTTGTCGTTTCGACTCCGCATTGTCGTTCAAATCTGGATGAGCATTACTTTAAAATTTCTCTGGTATAAATTGGAATGGATATTTACGACGATATTATTGCTGGAAAGATGCTAATGGTGACCAATGTGTTTCATTTTGCCTTCACAGGAACCAACAAAAAATTTGAAATAATTCCAGTTCTTATTGATGATGGTTACAGAGAGAATATTCCTCGGTCCATGTCTCATTTTTATTACCTCGATTACAATCGACTGGAAAAAGAATTGTTCTGGAATAAGCTGGCAATGTCACTGGGCTGGAAATCACCTGATCAATACTGAGAGCGTCGAGTAACAAACTCAACGATGGACTTTCACCTTTATCCGGATCAAAGTCAGTTTTTGAGCAACTGCCCACTTACCCTTCCCCTAACAGTCAACAGAGAATAAGTTAGGGGAGGAGTAGGTGTGCAGTTGCTCAGAAACTGACATTGATCCAAATATCCTATGGCGCGAAAGGCAACAGGAAACCGCGTCAAACAATCACTTCGTTATGAAGACCTCCTTTTTGTGTCCCAAGTAAGAGTTACATAATTTTCTCAACTGACAAATGGTTATTGTGGTGAGGGACATGAAGGTTAGAGCGTTTGTCGATGGAATGGCGTAAAACCGACAACTTTGTAAGAAGAGCCAGTGAAACTAAAACTAATTAGTCTAACGCGGGCATTTAAACGCGAGAGACCCATTCCCAAGTTGGTTTGGGTTTGACATCAGATTCTTTGAGAAGGTGTGGGTTTTCTTTGTTTTCTCTTTGTTTTTTGTTTTTTTCCTGCAGCCAATCACAATTGAAGTTAGAGCAATTTTAAAACGACCCCAGAGTAATGAAGGATTGCTTTGGTTCAGCTTCATTGCGACATGTGGTTAGTTCAGGAAATTAAAGCCATACGTCCACCAATCAGACTCAGAGTAAAAACCAATGGTGACTTGGTCAGTGGTCACCCTCTTTTTCCCGCGCATTGAACCGTTTGTTTGTTTTTTTTTTTACGTCATCTTTTTGTCTCTGTGTAATTTTTTTCCTTTGTTTTGATCGGCTGTTTTGGTTTAACATTACCCAATCTAAATGCGCTCAAGTTCAAACCATCGCGGTCATCAATTCTGCCTAAGGCTTACTTGAAAACTGTTTTAGCATCGACTTAATCCTGTGACACTGAATTCGGCTACGGCTGGTCTCATCTCAGCATTTGTCAGCGAGAAAAGAATATACTTGCTCCATATAAAGTCACCTCTCGTGTATTTTTCATTAGAAATTTGGTAGCTATTGTAAATAAATTGATAGGGGTGTTCTAGTTTGTTGTATATATTATATATATATCGTGATGTTTTATATATACTCAATCTTTTATGACTTACATTAATATTTTTTATTTCAATGTTGTTTTCTTTTATGAATCCCGTGTGTTATTAAATGTGTATGATATGTATGAGTTCTTTTTAACCTTTTCGCTCCCGAGATCCCATCTGAAACTCTCCATACTGACTGCCATAAAATCCTTATGATGCTAGTTTGGAGAATTTGGTTTTGGATCAACAAATGATCCGCTAATTGGTAGTTTCTTCGATTTCATCACTTGTCTGCTTGCTATTGTATGGATAGCATGGTCATTCTTGTGACGAGTGAATGGTGAATTGTGAATGGTTTTATTCGATACCTTAATAGCAGCATGGGCTGAATTGCCAAGGTTTACAATGTTGTTAAGGTTGAAATTAAAGCCATACGATCAGATTCAGGGTAAAAACCAATGGTGACTTGGTCAGTGGTCACCCTCTTTTTCCCGCGCATTGAACCGTTTGTTTGTTTTTCTTTACGTCATCTTTTTGTCTCTGTGTAACTTTTTTTGTTTGTTTTGATCGGCTGTTTTGGTTTAACAATACCCAATTGAAATGATGTTGATGGTCTGTTTATCAGGTGTAGTTGGCATGTAAGAGTTTGGAGTGTTTTAGATGGGAAACTTTTTATGGAGAGTAATCATTTTATTTTGGCCAGATGAGGAAGTACTTGTAATAAGACGGGTTGTTAATAACCATGGGCCGCATTCCACCTGCTAATCAGAAAAGTACTCTCCCCACCCTCAGTAAAAGCCTCCTTTTGGGGGGAGGGGGTTGATGTGTGAAATCCCAAGGAACGGCCGCGAAGCAAACTACTAGCAACCTTGGATGGAACGCATCAAGTCGAGGTTTCGTGGTAAACTTCCTTAGGAAAAAATGAGGGGAACAACAGTTTTCTCTCTTTCCACAGATTTTGATTGGCTTTCACTTCTTTTATTTTGAATTTTTATGACAAGTGGGTCTCATTTGTGACGTCACTTTGAGATGAAAATGAATGGGAGAAAGAAAGGAAAACATCGTTTGAAATTACGTTGATTGCAGGTTCATGCCTCGCGTTCATGTCTTCAATCCAAGGCAAGGATTATTGGTTATTGGTTATTCTGTTTAGTTGTTTAAGTTTGGTGAAAATTACAAATTGTAAAGCTGAAACTTCTCTCTGGCTTGATTATTGAACGTTCCGAACATAGGAATCACGCAAATAAGTATATGGGATGGGACGTGTTTAAGTTAATAGAATTTACTGCACAGTAATCACCCTCAATTTTTTGTACATCCATGAAATTCTTTACTGTTCCTGTTTTTTTTTTTTTTTTGCTTTAGCTTTGTTGTGTTCTGGTCAAGTTTTGTTTTCTTTTTTTCTCTTCGTTTATCCAACATCTACTTTATTTTCGCTGTTATTATCATATTTTACTTTAAAATACCATGGCCTGTGAATAAACAGAAGTATTTCAGAAACGTCTCCTTGATCTGGTCACCCTTTTCTTGACACCCTATTCTCCACCAACACGGCTTAAATGACTACCACATGCGTTAAATTAATGTGGCCAACTACAGAATTACTTATAGAACGACGGGGGAAAAGAGTATTTATCCGATTTCCCAGCATTCCTTTGAAATGTGAACCTTCCTACAGACGAAGGGACTGGAACTTCAAATTGCAATTTCCCTACCAAGAACGGTGTTTTTCAATGAGGGAAACAAACTTTTGTTTAAAACGCTGAGGCACGGAGCTCGTTGGTTACAACCTTAAGGTACAGCTATCCGCTTCTGTTTAGAGTAAGCGGATTTGAACGCTTTACCATGTAACACATCGGGTCAAGCTCTACAGAGGTACATGAAAATACTACAAAGTATAAGATTCCTCAACTTAAAAAAATTTCATCTCAAAGTTTAATCAAAATCATCAAAATGACACATTTAGTGCACTTTTGCTGAGTAGTTTACCTTTTCAAGTAAAGTTGTGAAAATTTCAATCGATTTTCTTCCAGAAAACGAGTGCGCCAAACTGTTTCTGTTTATTTTAAGCATTTGCCTTCCAAGCTGGACAGTTGAACTAATTAGCTATAATGCCGATAAGTCAAAACGGGAGCGATTTTTGGTCAGAACTCAAGTTTTATCTGGCTGTTAACAGTGCATAACTTAAACCTTTACAATTGATGTCACTACTGTGGACTTCGTCGTGCAAACGTTCCCCTAGTTTTATCATTACTAAACTTTACAACTGAAACTCAAGATACAATTTGCAATATACATCAATGTTATCTTTTTGTGCCTCAAAATAGTCAATATGTCCAATATCATCCCGATGGACTCGACTCGTGTACTTTCCATTGTCACCTCGCGGCACCACTGTTCCATCGGGCTGATTGTGCACAGTCAACTGGCTATACCTATAGGGAGATCGCTTTGCAGTCTCGATGAAGTTAACGCGACCACGTCTTATTCTGGACTACAATAGTCCATTTTACAGTTGTGTGCTTGGTTGCCAAGCCTTTTAACGGGAGTGAGGCTAAGAGCGACCTTGTTATGATACAAACCTGGCTGTCTTTCAAATGTAAATCACTTTGTTATCATGCTAACTAGATACAGGTCTCTATCACGACAAGGTCGCCTTCAGCCTCACTCCAAATCAAAGGCTTGGCAACTAAGTACACAACTGTAAAATGGCCTATTCCGGCAATGAGTGTTA